CTGCGAGAAAGGAGAGACACCCCCTTATAGAGGCGATAGGAGCCATAAGACATGCGGGTGATATCTGCCGCACACACCAAACCGAGTGCCTGTCCGGTGCCAAGTGCATGCAACCTCTAAAGTCCTGCAGCCAGAAACTCCCAGAGGGGAGGGGGGGCTGGATGGAGGAGGAGGATGGGAAAGATCTACAGATAGGAAAACCACCAGAGAATCTGGACAGCGAAAAGGACAGCTGTATAGGCAGGACATGAGACAGCAAGACACAATGTACTGTATACACAGGGGAGGCCAATGATGGAATATACAGGACAAGGCATGAGACTGTACTGGGAGAGGCAGGCAGTGCAATATACAGGGAAGGACAGGGGCAAGCCACTATACCATATACATAGGGGGGCAGATCCTGGAATATAGGGGGCAGGGCAAGGCACTATACCATATACATAGGGGGGCATACACAGGGGGGGCAGATCCTGGAATATAGAGGGGGCAGGCACTATACCATATACAAGGCACTACTATACCATATACACAGGGGGGCAGATCCTGGAATATAGAGGGCAGGGCAAGGCACTATACCATATACACAGGGGGGCAGATCCTGGAATATAGAGGGCAGGGCAAGGCACTATACCATATACACAGGGGGCAGATCCTGGAATATAGGGGGCAGGACAAGGCACTATACCATATACACAGGGGGGCAGATCCAGATCGCCGATCGGCTGCTAATGCCTGAAACTGGCACATGCGCAGATACGTCGAGGGGGACAGATCCTCATAGGAGAAGATTTTCATGCTACACCGGAACGGCGCGGGAACACGGCAAGAGGAAAAACGCGCGGAGCAAAGGTAAGTGAAATTGACACAGGGGGGACTTGGGGACTTAATATGGGGGATGAATTAATATGGGGAATTAATTACTATATGGGGGATGAATTACTATAGGGGGGATGAATTACTAAATAGGGGGGATGAATTACTATAGGGGGGATGAATTACTATAAAGGGGGGAATAATAATTACTATAAAAAAAAAATATGAATTACTATATGGGGGATGAATTACTAAATGGGGGATGAATTACTATATGGGGGATGAATTACTATATGGGGGATGAATTACTATATGGGGAATGTATTTTCAGTTTTAAAAAATGTGGCTCTCAAAATAAAATTTCAAAATCGTGGTTTTGGCGAGATTTGGCTCAGTTGAAAAAAAAAAAGGTTGCCAAAGAAAAAAAAACTGACCTAAGGCTATGATTTGTGAATTAAACGATACACTGTGGCAAAAAAAATTAAACCCTTTGCTTAACTGGGCCCTTAAACCCCCTTCATGACCAGAGCGCTTTTTTTTAATATATGCAGTGTCGGGATTTGTTTTTAAATGTTGCAATGGTTTTGCGGCTCCCAGTCTTTTTTTTCCCTAAAAAAAAACGGGTCCAAGTGGATATTATTTATGTCTTAAAAAAGGTTGCAGACTCCTGCACTATACCATATACACAGGGGAAAAATAAAAAAAGATCTGGAATAAAGAGGGCAAGGGGCAAGGCACTATACCATATGCACAGGGGATCAGAATCCTGGAATATAGAGGGCAGGGCAAGGCACTATACCATATACACAGGGGTCAGATCCTGGAATAAAGGGCAAAAACAAGGCACTATACCATATACACAGGTATGGGTCAATCCTGGAAAAATAAATAAGGGCAGGACAATTAAGGGAAAATTATTATACCAAATACACAGGGGGAAAGATCCTGGAATATAGAGGGCAGGGCAAAACTATAACCGGGTGTCGGATAAAACCCCGCGCTCCAGAGCCGCATAGAAAAAAAAAAAAAAATTTTTTTTAACCTTTGGCTAATGCGGCCTCCGGAGCAATACACTAAAAAATGACAGGCAAATAGGGCAGCAATGGGCAAAATTTTATAAACGGCCCGGGGGACCTTTTAATATCCGGCCCCCGCGGAGCTAAAATAAATATTAGGCTCCCACTAGGCTCCTCTCACAAAATCCGCCCTGAAGATAAAAATAAAAGCATGAAAATCTGTCTCCTATGAGGATCTAAATCCCCCTCGAGCATCTAAAATATATGTGCCGGAAATCGCCGATAATCGGCTGCTAATGCCTAAAAAAAATAAAAATTAATTATATGAGGGGCACATACTATGCGCAGATAAAATAAAAATAGGGGGACAGAAAAAAATAGGAGACAATTTTAAATTTTAAATGCTAAACTATATGGGGGGAATTAAAATGGGGGGGGGGGGATGAATTACACGGCAAAATAAAAGGAACGCGCGATGAAAATAGGTAAGTGAATTGAAACAGGGGGGATGACTTGGGGACTGAAATAATATGGGGGATGAATTAATATGGGGAAAAATTACTATATGGGGGATGAATTACTATATGGGGGATGAATTACTATATTATGGGGGATGAATTACTATAGGGGGGATGAATTACTATAGGGGGGATGAATTACTATAGGGGGGATGAATTTACTATAGGGGGGATGAATTAACTATAGCGGGGATGAATTACTATGGGGGATGAAAACTATGGGGGATGAATTACTATAGGGGGAATGAATTAAAATAGGGGGGAAAAAAAAAACTATAGGGGGGATGAATTAAAATAGGGGGATGAATTACTGGAAAAAGGGGGGATAAAAAAAAATAATAATGAATTATATAGGGGGGGATGAATTACTATATAGCGGGGATGAATTTACTATAGCGGGGGATGAATTACTATAGGGGGGATGAATTACTATAGGGGGGATGAATTACTATGGGGGATGAATTGGGGATGAAATTACTATATGGGGGATGAATTACTATATGGGGGATGAATTACTATATGGGGGATGTATTTTCAGTTTTAAAAATGTGGCTCTCAAAATAAATTTCAATCGTGGTTTTGGCGAGATTTTGGCTCAGTTGAAAAAAAAAGGTTGCCCACCACTGACCCTAAGGCTATGATTGTGATTATGACGATACACTGTGGCACTGATTAACCCTTTGCTTACTGGGCCCTTAAACCCCCTTCATGACCAGAGCGCTTTTTGCAATATATGCAGTGTCGGATTTGTTTTAAATGTTGCAATGGTTTTGCGGCTCCCAGTATTTTTTTCCCTCTCGGAAACGGGTCCAAGTGGCTCTTTATGTCTTAAAGGTTGCAGACTCCTGCACTATACCATATACACAGGGGGGGTCAGATCCTGGAATATAGAGGGCAGGACAAGGCACTATACCATATGCACAGGGAGTCAGATCCTGGAATATAGAGGGCAGGGCAAGCCACTATACCATATACACAGGGGGTCAGATCCTGGAATATAGAGGGCAGGGCAAGGCACTATACCATATACACAGGGGGGGGCAGATCCTGGAATATAGGGGAGGGCAAGGCACTATACCATATACACAGGGGGGCAGATCCTGGAATATAGAGGGCAGGGCAAGGCACTATACCATATACACAGGGGGGCAGATCCTGGAATATAGAGGGCAGGACAAGGCACTATACCATATACACAGGGAGTCAGATCCTGGAATATAGAGGGCAGGACAAGGCAGGCGACTGTACTCTACATACAGGGAGGAAAGCTAAATAATATACAGGGAAGGACAAGCAACTGTTCACAGTGGTGGGACAAGGTCATCCAGAGCACAGGGAGAAGGTGCCAAACAGTGCTCCCACCAAAACAAAATGTATGGGCATTAGGTGTCAGCAAAATCCCCCCCCTAAACCCCCCCCACACACACACACACACACACACACACACACACACACACGCAAAAATATGAGGGACTAATCTTCAGCCTTCCCTACAGGCATAATTTTCTTTTGCAAACCCAAATTCTCCCCAAAGAAAAATTCCCCCTCTGCCAGTATAAATCCTCCCTTGCACCTCAAATCATCTCCCTTCCAAATCCCCCCTCCTGGCACAAAACCTCTACTACTCTTATTTCCCCACTTGGCATAAATCCTCTGCCTCCCAAAATCCCCATCTCTCAGAACAAATCCTCTACCCCTCAAATTTCCCCACTTGGCATAAAATTCTCTCCCTCCCAAATCCCCATCCTAGCACAAATCCTCTACCCTTCAAATTTCCCCACTTGGCATAAAGCCTCTCCCTCCTCAAATCCCCATCTCCCAGCGCAAATCCTCTACCCCCCAAAATTTCCCCACTTGGCATAAATCCTCTCCTTCCTCAAATTCCCCTCCTAGCAAAAATCCTCTACCTCTCACTTCTCCCCACTTAGCATAAAATCCTCTCCTTCCTCAAAATTCTCCCCTCCTAGCACAAATCCTCTACCCCTCAAATCTCCCCACTTGGCATATAAAGCTTCTCCCTCCCCAAATCCCCCTCCTAGCACAAATCCTCTACCCCTCAAATTTCCCCACTTGGCATAAATTCTCTCCCCCCCAAAATCCCCCTCCCAGCACCATTCCTCCCCCACATTTCTCCTTCTAGCACAAATCCCCTCAATCATGCCTGCTAACACAAATCCCCCCCCCCCCCTTCCAAATCACCCTTCCTAACAGAAATCCCCCCCCAAGCACCCCTCCTAGCACAACCCCCCAAATCCCCACCACGCCCCAGGCAGCCACGCCTCCTACCGACTCCTTAGCTCGACCCTCTATACACATGGAGAGAGGCAGTAGAAAATACAGGAAGGGAAAGGCAAACGACTGTACCATATACACAGGGAGGCAGGCAGCGCAATATTCAGAGCTAGGCAGGTTACTGAATACAGGTGTGTAAGTGCTTCCACCTTCTTACATCCCAGCTCTGCCCAGTGCTCAGACATATAGGCTGCCGAAGCCTCAGATACCACGAAGCACAAGAGGAGAGGTTGGCACTCGGAATGGCATCCAACAATGGTTATCCTTTATTGCAAAAACATGTAAAACAGCTATGAAACATCCAACGCGTTTTGGTCGTCAGGCCTCTGGCCATGACTAGGCCCTAACTGTTGAAACG